CTGCGCACAAGAAAATCTATGCTGTGCCTAAAATATGTTAGGATACGGTTCACTTACGCTACGCAGCCGGAGCCAGTCATGGCCTTGACGGTGTTTGTGTTACACAAGTTAGTGACGTTACGTTTTTGTCTTGAACTTCTTTGAATTGCGTTACGTTAGTTGTGTTATGCAAGTGCCACGGTGCCTATGGGCAGGGCACATATGCCACATGTGCCTTAACTTGTGTCACCCACGGTTACGGCACATAGCTAGGTTAGCTAGGTTAGCTAGGTAAGCTAGGCAACAACAGTGCGGAAGAGTTAAGAGACACAAATGCTAAACCTTTATCATGCGTATACCTCTTTGAAATGTACAGGTGAGCTTGAGTTTGATGTCGCTGAGAGTCATCCTCAACTCATAATCTGAGCAATATTACACAAGATCAAGCATTTTCAACATTTGACTAAAATATTTACAAGTCAATATTTTATGTGATGGTCTTAGTTTAAAACTCTGACTTGGTGGGTAATGTGCATTATTTTAGGAAATGCAAGCTCTTGAATAATTGGAGTCTTGACTTTCAGGAGTGAAAAGGCACAAGAACATTAGTGTCTGTCCTCCTACCTAACCATCACACCGTCAGAACGGCTTAACGCAGATTCCCTGCTGGGTGATTAAAACTCTGAGAAAAATATTGGTGCTTCCTTCAAGCAAACTGTGTGGGTTAGAGCGCCTTCACCTTCTCCTTCACGTTGACGCGTCCACAGCCAACGGGCTTTGCGTAACTGCACAAACGAGGGTTAACGAGCAGAATGGGTGGGCTCAGGAAAACATCTCATGAGGTAGAAGCAGATTAACACAAAGAGGAAGAGTCAGGAAAATAACTGCATGAACTGAGGTCATAACTTGTTCCCCAAGTTCTTTCAAAATACTGTGATTCAGCCTCCAGCAATACATGAGCAGTGTTGGAGCTGCACTGCTGCTGTTTATTCTGGAAACAATCTGTTTCCATGGTAACATTACTCAAGCTGGTTTACTAATATAAAATAAATCCTTTGCTGCCCTCTGATGTAGGTTTGGGCGAAGTTCAAAAAAACATTTATAGACAAGTCTTTTTTTTTGTTACTGTAATTAATTAATTGTATATCGTGGTATTTATTAGCATCCAACAGGAACACATGACAGACCTGTCGGGCACGCCAAGCAACTGCAATGATGACAGGCAGTCATACGAGCATGACAACTGTTATCTACATCCCCCTTTTAAACTTCTGGGCTTTCAGCCAAAGCTAAATTAACACATTTACTGGTGAGATAAACATACAGGTCCTTCTCAAAAAATTAGCATATTGTGATAACGGTCATTATTTTCCATAATGTAATGATCAAAATGAAACTTTCATATATTTCAGATTCATTGCACACCAACTGAAATATTTCAGGTCTTTAATTGTTTTAATACTGATGATTATGGCATACAGCTCATGAAAACCCAAAATGCCTGTCCCAAAAAATTATATTTCATCCCACCAATGAAAGACAAGTGTTTTTAATACAAAAAACTCCAACCTTCAAATAATCATGTTCAGTTATGCACTCAATACTTGGTCGGGAATCCTTTTGCATGAATGACTGCTTCAATGCGGCGTGGCATGGAGGCAATCAGCCTGTGGCACTGCTGAGGTGTTATGGAGGCCCAGGATGCTTCGATAGCGGCCTTAAGCTCATCCAGAGTGTTGGGTCTTGCGTCTCTCAACTTTCTCTTCACAATATCCCACAGGTTCTCTATGGGGTTCAGGTCAGGAGAGTTGGCAGGCCAATTGAGCACAGTAATACCATGGTCAGTAAACCATTTACCAGTGGTTTTGGCACTGTGAGCAGGTGCCAGGTCGTGCTGAAAAATGAAATCTTCATCTCCATAAAGCTTTTCAGCAGATGGAAGCATGAAGTGCTCCAAAATCTCCTGATAGCTAGCTGCATTGACCCTGCCCTTGATAAAACACAGTGGACCAACACCAGCAGCTGACATGGCACCCCAGACCATCACTGACTGTGGGTGCTTCACACTGGACTTCTGGCATTTTGGCATTTCCTTCTCCCCAGTCTTCCTCCAGACTCTGGCACCTTGATTTCCGAATGACATGCAAAATTTGCTTTCATCCGAAAAAAGTACTTTGGACCACTGAGCAACAGTCCAGTGCTGCTTCTCTGTAGCCCAGGTCAGGCGCTTCTGCCGCTGTTTCTGGTTCAAAAGTGGCTTGACCTGGGGAATGCGGCACCTGTAGCCCATTTCCTGCACACGCCTGTGCACGGTGGCTCTGGATGTTTCTACTCCAGACTCAGTCCACTGCTTCCGCAGGTCCCCCAAGGTCTGGAATCGGCCCTTCTCCACAATCCTCCTCAGGGTCCGGTCACCTCTTCTCGTTGTGCAGCGTTTTCTGCCACACTTTTCCCTTCCCACAGACTTCCCACTGAGGTGCCTTGATACAGCACTCTGGGAACAGCCTATTCGTTCAGCAATTTCTTTCTGTGTCTTACCCTCTTGCTTGAGGGTGTCAATGATGGCCTTCTGGACAGCAGTCAGGTCGGCAGTCTTACCCATGATTGCGGTTTTGAGTAATGAACAAGGCTGGGAGTTTTTAAAAGCCTCAGGAATCTTTTGCAGGTGTTTAGAGTTATGTCGTTGATTCAGATGGTTAGGTTAATAGTTTGTTTAGAGAAACTTTTCATGATATGCTCATTTTTTGGGACAGGCATTTTGGGTTTTCATGAGCTGTATGCCATAATCATCAGTATTAAAACAATTAAAGACCTGAAATATTTCAGTTGGTGTGCAATGAATCTGAAATATATGAAAGTTTCATTTTTATCATTACATTATGGAAAATAATGACCTTTATCACAATATGCTAATTTTTTGAGAAGGACCTGTACATTGTGTTGTTGGTCACCCAAAATTGAAAATTCACATTTAAACTTAAATGAACTGTAATCTCTATCACAAATGTAACTTCACAGCATAACATGAAAATGAAACGCATTTTGAAAACACACATTACAGTGTCTGTGTGCTCAGTCTAAATATCTACGGTTTGCTTTGTAATCTGATTCTGAGCAAATTGTCGTCATTGAGCATTTGTTGGTGTTTTTCATTTTATTCTGTCACGTTGTCATCAGTCTCATCTGGCTCAGGTTGTTCAGTGTGCGTCTTTTCATGTTTGTTGGTTTGCGTTACGTCAGGTTCAGCTGTGTTCTTGTTTCGAGGCATGTCCCGTTAATTAGGCTTTGTAGTGAACTTTTCAGGCTGTGGCTCGTTTAACGGAAAAATGTGGTGTTTATCGTGCGTGTACTTTTTCCTTCTCCCTCCACTACGTAAGAGCGGGGCTCCGCACATCTCTTATATACAACTCCAATCTTGTCATGTCCTTTTTGTGTTCGTATTCTCACCGCCTGGTTTTGCGTTAATGGACTGAATGGCTTGCTGGACTTGTATTGCTGTTTTGTGCCCTGTGCTTTTATGTGAGTTGGGTTTTGATAGTGTTGGTTACATCTGATGGTTTGTTACATTCATGAAGGTTGATCCTATTGTCTTGATAACAGTCTCTGTGGTGAGCCAAGACAGTTGTCTCATGGCATGTCATTAGATGCAGGTTCGAGTAAAGATCAGTCCCATCCATTTTTGTTGTTGCAAGAAGCCTTTAAGCGCTCTTTTTAGAGTGCTTAGCATGTTCTTTTAGATCCTCTGAGCTAAAAACAAACAAATATTACAACTTAAACTCTTTTTGTTTCTGTCCTTACCAAGAAGCTGACAACTCCTGCTGTCTTCATGGACTGTGTAGAAATTCATGAATCTTCACCAGCATCTGACACCATGTACATGTGTTTATAATAACCAATCCATTCTAAGCAATTGGCCTCCACCACGAACACATGCATGTCCAACCATCTCCACTAAAGAACACCGTGATAGACCACAGGGACGCCTGTTGGCCTGTGGCACATGGAGCAATTACAACAACAGAAAGCAGAGTAGAAAACAACAAAACTCACATCTAAAGTTACTAATGCTCAAATATTTAGGCATTCTGTATTTTATGAAAAAAAAAATATATATAATGTTTTTTCTAATAAACAAATAAAAATACATGATGGAAAAGAGGCTTTACACACCACCACCCCCAAAAACCAACAAACAATAAAAAAGAAAGTTTGGCCATTCTTTTTTTTGCTTAACTTTTGAATACATTTATATTTATCACACAAAGGGGGATTTTAGTCTATGCAATGCCTATTCCAAAAGGTTGGGATGTTGTGTAAATTGTAAATAAAAACACTTGCACTTTCAAAAAACACTATTTTCATCACAGATTTAGAACCCAAAATTCAGTTCTTCAGAAAATTGGAATATTACGTCAGACCAAAAACAAAGGATTTTTAATACAAAACGTTGGCCATCATGTTTGTGTACTGTACGGTAAGCTTGAGCAGGACTGCATGAATTTCTGCATTAATGTGGCATCAACAAAAATCATGTGTAGGCTTTAGGTCTGGCTAGTTCACTGCCAATCAAGTGATGCCATGGAGGGCAAAGTAAATATTGATACTTTTGGCAGTGTGGACAGGTGCCAAGTCTTTGTCATTAATCTGCTAATTATCTAGACCAAATTTCATATACAAAATTTTTTAAGAAAATTTAAAAAATAAGATAATTTTGTTTGTTTTCTAATGTAGTTTTGGCAAAATATTTGTCTGTCAAAAACAATTATAATGAGTTGTTCTGTTCTTGGAGTTCCTGTGTTTACTTTACTTGTTTCTATTACTGTCTTTATTATTATTATTATTATTATTATTATTATTATTATTATTATTATTTACTTGTGTTTGTTGTATTGTGCAGTTGATTTATTTTATTTTTTGCACTGTGGTCACTGGCTTCTAAGTTAGATAAAAAATAAATAAATAAATAAAAAGAGGAGGAAGTGACGCAGCATGTTGTTCCCACACTTTATTTGTCCGGTCGTGTTCGCCTCTTCAACGTTCCGGATACAAACGCCGGCTTCATGTAAGCTTCATTAATACAGCTGCACAAAAAAAAAAAATAACTGTAAAATACCGGCACAGAAGAAATACAGTACCATATACTGTCCACCCTTGCCTTTACAACACAATAAGGTAATTTCTTCCAAATGTTTTATTTTTCTGGATGACGATGTTTTGCTAACTCGCTCGCTAACACGAGTTTAGCTAGCTGCTGCTGTTACCGTTATATTTACATCCTTAAAAAAAAACATAGTGAGTTATTATTAGGTTGCACTTTAGAAAGTAGTTGTTTCCATTTGATTTGTCAATTGTAATGGTTTTTAAACGCTGTAACGCAGTCTTCTTTTTTTGCTAATAGGTGTTCCGTAGAAATGAGTTCACTCGCTGAGTTCTGTTTCCCAGTCAGACATGCTCCGTTATTTATTTATGTGTTATTTTTAACGATGACTACAAAACGTTAACATTTTGCCCTTCATACGTGTTTATCCCTCTTTAGCAGTGGTAACCCGTCATTATAGCAGCTCATCCCTGTATGATACTCAGAACACATTCGGTTGTCTCGTTCCCTCATGATGCCCATGTCCTGAGATGTTGATGCATTTCATTCAGCCTTTATTTAGACAGGTAAGTCTTGGTCAAAATGTGTACATTTAGCAGGGGAACATCAGGCTGATGATGCAAAGTATTAGACCGGTGGTGAAACTGATATTGGAGGA